TCCACATGCTGTGAAACTTTTGGCTCTGGCCCGACATTCTTTGGCGAAGCGCATCCAAGGCATCGCGGGTCAGTCAATGCTTGCTTTTGTATTATGCAAAGCGATGTATACCCGCCATATGTTTACAAGAGTTTGACACTTTTGGGTTCTGAAAACATGTCGTGGTAGGCCTATAGGAATGCTGGGACGGTCGGCCCTTGCCCGGGGCTCACTGTTCAGGGGGGTCTCGGGGCGCAGGCCCGTCCACTTCTCCGCAACGCCCCCTGTTCACACGCGTCTGCCCTCGCGGCGCTGTCGCGCGCTGCGCGCGCGCATCGCGTGAACTCGCGGCTCTCGCCTTCTCAGGGACGGTGGCCACCAGGTCAGGCGGCAGACGCGAGCAGCACAGATCAGCCACAGGTCGGGGGGTGCGTGGAGGTGCGTCACGGTGCCGTTCCGCGGCAGCTCCTCCGCCTTTCTCCTCATATTCCTCCTCCTCGTCCTCCTCATCCGTTTCCTCCTCGGCGTCTCCCCCCCCCGTGAGCAGTCTGGGGCTCAGTCGGATGGCTTTGTGGGCGACACCCGCGGGTATTTCTGGTCCAAGACATGTTTTTGTTTTGTTTCATACATGTTCCGGGTGCGCCATTGGAACGGACCCGTGCAACAGCTTGAGCGGGCAGTTGCGTATCATGGCACGCGGTAGTAGCAGTAGTGGACATTGAGTGCGCGTTCTTTGCGTGCGGCGGTCCAGGCGCCAGGCTGGGACCTACTAGGTTCTATATCCAGCTGAAGAACCAGAAGCGTGTAATGTGTGGCGCCCTGATTCAGGAATCAAAGGGACTATCGCCCGCCCCCCGTGCACTTGCAAGAATGCGACGAAAAGGCCATTGTGCTGAAACGTTGCGGAGTGTCTCCGTGCGCAGAACAGGTGCAGACCCCGACCAAGCACATGCCGGTGACAGCTAGGAATACCCAAGCAGCAGCTAATCGATGGCTTGCGCAAAGCAGCCCCGTGGCGTTGGTTGGAAAGGCTTTGATAAAAAAGAGAAAGGGTTTGACGCCGCTGGTCGGAAGTCGAACTCGCCCGACACAAATCACAACCACAGACCAAAAGCATGCATCGACCGGCAAACAAATTGAACAACGACCAGGCCAAGCCATCACATGCGCAGTTTATTTCACGCAGCTGACGATTCTACCAGCAGTTCTGGAAGGTGTCGAGTATTGAGTGGCGTTGGCCGAGCCACTGGCCACCCCGACGCCTGACCTCCGCTAGCTGGTGAAAGGCGAAATGGAAATATCAAAGTTCCAGCGTGTGCGAGTACTTCGTGGTTGAGTTCTCTCAGTCCCGCGTCAAACACTCGAACTCCCAGTTATTGACGAGTCGGAGTACAAGTAGTTGGCAATGCCAAGCCATGTTCACACAGTAAAAGGGACCTTGGACAAAGAACACCAGGAGGGCGCTAGAAGACCATACCAAACACCTCCATAACTTGGGCGGCAAGAAACAAAAGACCAGCGGGGGAGCAGTCACAGACTGAGGAGATGCAATAGATGCGTAGCAGCCGGTCACCTCTGCAATTTTTGGGACGGGTTCAGGGCAGACGAACAGATTTGCCGCGACTGGGGTGGCACAACTTGCAGTTACGGGCGTCCGGGAAAATTGAGATCTCCCCCCACGTCAACATGTCATGGCCCTGGGGACCTAAAACAGACATTGGAGGCCGACAGTTGCAGGAAACTGGATGGGACTGGGCGCAACAATCCTTCGGATGTTTGGGCCATCCACCTCAAGGGGGGGGTCGAGGTGACGCACGGGTCTGGGCCTCGGGCCGCTACCCAGGACGTCTCGGGCAGCGGGCCGCGCGGGGATGCCGAAGTCCTGAGGTCCCCCTCCGATTGCTGCGGACCAGCAATCACCGCCCACCAAACCCAACCCGAAGGCTTAAATTTGCCCTCAATTTCTGGTGGGGGGGTCGGGGAGCAATGAACAAGAACATGTATGGAACCCGTAAGTACCCCCCCCAACCCGAAATTGGGATCTTCGGGTCAGGTTGGGGTGGTCTCTGGTAGGCAGTCAAACGACGGAATCCGCGAGCGTCGACCGCTCATGATTTTGATGATCTCGAGAGGAGGATTGAGGATCGAGAGGAAGATGGAGGATCGAGAAGGAGGAGGAGGAGGAGGCGGCGGAGGAGGAGGAAGAGGAGGAGGAGGAGGAGGACCCCTCGCCGGAGTGACTTCCGGTGCGGGCCCGCCGTTGGGGCCCCCCGGGGTCGTTGCGGTGCGGAGCGGCGGCAGCGGCCTGCGGGGTCGAGATTCCTTCACACCGCAGCCCTCCTCCTCCTCCTCCTCCTCCTCCTCCTCCTCCTCCTCCTCCTCCTCCCTCTCCTCCTCCTCCTCCTCCTCCTCCACCTCCACCTCATCCTCATCCTCATCCTCCTTCTCCTCCTCCTCCTCCTCATCCTCATCCTCATCCTCATCCTCATCCTCATCCTCATCCTCATCCTCCTCCCCCCCGCAACCTGAGCGGGAGCTCATGGAGGCGGAGGACCCGCTGGCGACGCCGGCACCGTTGAAGGTGCACCAGCAGCCGGCGGATTACGGAGAGAAGATATGCGATGAGGGGAAGGAGGACCACAAGACCGGCCTCAAGCGCAAGTACTCAAAGGAGGAGACGTTGGAGGAGGTGGACGGCAGGAGCATGATGGAGGTGGACAAGCCCAAGAAGCGGACCCCTTTGGGTGCCATCGTCGCAGTCTCTGCCCAACACGATGCACTACGTGAAGATCTGGAGGTGCAAGTGCGCAGCGGCGAACTTCGGCTTCCGCAAGGAGTGCTACTGGTGCGGGATGGCACCATCCCCCAGAGACCGTCGCGTTGCAGCGCAAGCAGCTGGAGGAGATGGTCAGCTGTCCGTGGGACTCAGAGGAGGAGTATCCGACGGTGGTGAGGAGGCTCAACAGGTGACCCCAGACCCGCTCATGGCCTGGTGGCACGACATGAAGGACATGGTTGCGACCGGGGACGGCGCGATGGTTTCCGACATCGTGTCTGACACGGCCGTCTCTGGCGACATCCGGGTGCACCACATCGGCGAGGAGGTCCGCACGGTCATCGACAAGGTCAGCCACTTCAGCTCCGAGTCCCAGTCTGCGGACAGCAGCAGTTCTCAGCGCATCGGCGCTTCTCTCGGTTCTCAGCCCATCGGGGCGTCTCAGACTTTTTTCTAGATCGGCGGCAAGTCGTCCTGTGCTGCCCTTTCTTCGACCATGGAGGCCAGTTTTGACTCCCCTGAGCTTGATGTCTCTGGGCCCGTCGGGGCCGCTTCTGCTTCATCGGACGCGCGGGATTGCCCGCCAGTGTCGCAGCAGCAGTTCGAGAAGATGGCGTCGGACATCATCGCGCTCGTCGGCACGGACAGCGCAGAAGCAATGCGGCAGATGAGGGCGCTGGCGGCGATTTGTGACTTCCCTCTCGCGGAGCCCCTCGGCTCCCGAGGTTGTCTGCCCCGTCGGGGGCGCCTTGGGCTAGCCTCAGCTTGCGCGCCCGCAGTCGTTTTTCGACCCTCGGTTGTGCTTAATTTTCCTTGTCGGGCTCAGTGCTCGGCATCGCGGCCCGTTGGGGTTGCCTCGGCTTGCATGCCAGCGGTCATTGAACGACCTGTCTCATCGCAACCCCTCAGGGCCCCTCCTCCTCTTCTTCCTCCTCTTTTTCCTCCTCCTGTACGGCACGCGTCTCATCCTCCCCCTCCTCCTCCTCCTCCTCTTCTCCGTCCCCCTGTCCGCCTCGTCCTGCCCCTCCTTCCTCCTCCTCGCCCTCCCCCTTTCCTCCTCCACCTTCTTCCTCCTCGTCTTCGGAGGAGAAGGAGGAGGAAGAGGAGAGAGGGGACGTGCAGTTCATCGAGCACGAGAAAACCCTTAGCCCTAGTAGCACGATGAAGACGTGGTCTTACTGAGGTCCCCGTCTTCGCATCAAGTAACACATTCTGGGCGTCTTGGTTCGGTGCATCTGCAGAAGACTACCCCTCTTACCCTAATCTTCTTGGCCCTCACAACTTAGGCCCTTTACCCAAGGGCTACGGGCTTTTTCCGGGTTGATCATCAGGGGCAGGGGCTGCGGGCCTTTTTTTCGGGTTGATCACCAGGGGCGACGTTCGGGGGAGAGATGTTCAGGGGGAGGCGCAGCGAAGCCGCTTGGGGCTCTGGAGGGGCCCTCTGCCTCGCGGGCCGTGCCTTGTAGACTTCGGCCGTGGAGCCCCCTCGTGGCCGAGGCTCGCGGCGCCTCGAACGGAGGGAGGGAACGCCACCCCGATCCCACACAACTGGCGTTGACGAAGCGGCTTTTGGTCGTTTGCGAAGCACCCCTGCCCTGATCGATGGCCTCCCTGGCTGCGTTTACGAAGCCGGTTCGCTGGTCGGCGTTTTCTAGTCTCTCTCTCTCTCTCTCTCTCTGTCTCTCTCTCTCTCTCTCTTTCTCTCTCTTTTTTGTTTCTCTCTCTCTCTCTCTCTGTCTTTCTCCTTCTATACATATACCTATATATATATATATACATATATATATATGTGCGTATGTAGAAAAGCCCTGCCGTCTCTCATTTGGCGCGCCTTCTGTGTGGTAACGCGATGGCTCTACAGTCAACCCGCATAGTAAGGATGGACATCCTTCATAAGGGTAGTTTTACATCCTTGCCTCCTCGGTCCATCCTTGGCCGCTTTCGCTGGCCGCGCCCCGCTCGAAGAGCTCCGAAACGGCCTTCCAAGACCCTTGCATCCTTCTCGTGCGTCCTTACGGCTACAGGCGGATTTTGGACGAAAAACAAAGAGTGGCCAAAACCTGAAACATATGCAAAAGAATCGTCCCCACACTATTTTCCGACCACTTGTGAATACTCCTCCTGTAGAGGGACACGCCCGACTGAATGATGTGGCCGCCTGTGTAGAAGAGCCCTGTCGTTGTTCCCATCGGGCGCCCCTTCCCCCCCGTGGCAGCGCGCCCGCTCTGGGCCCGCCCCCGGGGAGGCGAGCCGGCGCGGGGTGCCGCGGGCAGACGGCGGCGGTGCGCCCGGGCGCCCGAGCTGCATGCCCCTCGAGTGCGCAGGCGCCAGGAGCCAGGGGCAGCGTTGGGGGGGGGGGGCGTGACAAGGTGCCCGCAATGATTGTGTTCTCTTCTTCCTCGTGCCGCCGATCGGCGCGGGTCCTCGCCCCCCCCCCCCTCCCAGCTCTCTCCCCCCCCGAAGGCGCCAGGGCCAGGGGCAGTGTTGGGGGGGGGGGCGTGACAAGATACCCACAGTGATCGTTTTCTCATTCATTGTTCCGCCGATCGGCGCGGGCCCTCGCCTCCCTCCCCCCCCCCCCCAGTTCTCCCCCCCCCACAGGCTCCAGAGCCAGGGGCAACGTTAGGGGGGGGGCGTGACAAGATACAGTCGAGGTTGGCTAATAGGTGGACCCTGCCAAATCAAGGGTACCCCTTGTGTCCTGTGTTTCGCGGCCCACGCCTTCTGCATTCCCTTGGCAATCTGGCACTCTGAAGAGTCTTGCGTCCTTTCGCGTGTCCTTCACAATCAGCCCCAACTGTAACCATAGTGATGTTTTCTTATTCATTGTTCTGCCGATCGGCGCGGACCCTCGCCCACCCCCCCCAGCTCCCCCCCCCATGGAGTAGATCTTGGCTGTTTGCGGCGCCTGTTTCGAGCAGGTGGAGTCTCCCTCATAGGACGCACTGTTGCAAACAGTCGCATTAAGCGACACCCCCGCCTTTCCGACTAATGTCGAACGAAAAAGAAAACGCTCACATACCTCTACCCTTGCCTCGTTTCCCCCTTTTTGGGGCTTCCTGGGCGGCCCGCGTCGCCACCGCTGGACTCGCCGCGCGCGAAAGTCTGGTTAGAACGCGCCCCGGGAGCGAGCCGGGGAGTGGCGGTATCGGTCCCTTTTGGTTGCCCCAGTTCGGGTGGAGGGGAGGCTCACGGGGGGGGGGGGGGCGGGACGCATCGACCCCAAGTCGCCCAGTGATTATCGCCGACATGGGGTCCGATAGCCTCACCCCGCCCAAGAACGTGGGCACTCGCGATCGGGATCCTACCGCCGATCCATCGGCGATGTATCGCTATTGTAGTGGCCCCCCGGCCAGTGCCACCGATGGTGCTCGAGCTCGCTTTGAGGCCCATGGGGCCGTCTCGGGGCCTTCTCTGGGCCGTCGCAGGAGGAGGCCTCTTCTTGAGGGAGTGTTTGAGCCTCCCTCGGGCCTCTTGGAAGCATTTTTTTTGGCTGTCTTAGGGCGTTCCTGGCCCGTCGGACGCCGTCGGAAACCGTCTCGGGCGCCCCGCTGTGCGGTGGATTTCCAAGTCGATGCCTCCCCCTCTCCTCCCCTGTGCTACGTAGTTCCCCCCCCGTGGTACGTAGCCCCCCCTTTGGGCTACGTAGTCCCCCCCGCCTGTGCTACGTAGTCCCCCCCCTGTGCTTCGTAGTCCCCCCCCTACGCGACGTAGTCCTCCCCCCCCCCCTGCGCTAATTACGTAGTCTCCCCCCCCCATCTCTGCCCCTCACAGAGCCCTGGCGGCCGCCCGCCGCGTGAGGCAGCGCGCGCGCGCGCCTGCGGGCCTCTTCCGGGCCGCGGCCGCCCCGGCGCAGAGCAGCGCCGCCGCGATCCTCGGCCCTCCCAAAGAAGTTCCCCGCTGCTTTCGGGGGCGGCAAAGAGGGAGGTGATGACTAGGGGGGGTGGATGTCGTGGCGGGGGCCACGACATCTCCCCATATTTCATGGCCCTTCTTCTTACTTCGCTACGTTCCCAGCCCGCCCCTGGGCCGCGCACATGCCGCCGGCCATGATTTCTCCCCCCCTGTTGGACACCCCCCTTTCGGACGCCATCGATGCTTTCCTCGGGCAGCCATAGGGGGACAGGAAGGTGGGCTCCCGGGCCCTCTGGTCGTGGTCCCGCTCGATGGTGCATGTTCGAGACGGCCGGACCTCATGGTTTTTCCAGCCTCGGGATGCTTTCCGGCAGCTATTGCAGATATCAGATGGTCCCTGGCTCGATTCCAGGCGGCCGGATTTGCTGAGGGTCCTCGCTGCTCACCCCAATCCCAGGTTTGAGGTGGGTAGCGGACCTTTCTTTCTTCTTTTTTTTGTTGTTGTTTGAACTTCGTTTGCTCGTCGGTGAGGGGGGGGCCTCGCCGGGAGCGCCCCTAGGGGTGCCCAGATGGTCCCGAGAGCGGCCGCGGGAGACCCGGGCTACGACCAGGGAGCCAAGGGGTCGGGCGAAGAGAAGTATGCACATGCACGGATCCTGGCAAGGCCCATCTTTGACCCAGGATCGGTGCATATGCCTTCCTGGCCAAGGTAGGAGGGCGTATGCACCGATCCTGGGCTCAGGATGGGCCTGGCCAGAGTCGGTGTATGTGCATAGTTATTTTTCCTCTAAGGGGCAACGTTGGGGGGGGGGGGGGGGGGGCAGGCCCACGGCGGGATGCGACCCGCAGTCGCCCATGGATCGCCGGTAAGGGTCTGATAGCCCCACCCCGCCCAAAAACATGCGGATGTGCTATCGGGGGCCTATCACCGATGTTCAGAGCCCCGACTCATCAGGGGTAACTCGGGTCAGGGCTAACTCGGGTTCGTTTTTCGGGAATCCGAACCCGACTTACCCCGGACTCGAGTTACCCCGGATAATTCGGGCGTCCAGAGCCCCGAATCATCAGGGGTAACTCGGGTCAGGGCTAACTCGGGTTCGTTTTTCGGGAACCCAAACCCGACTTACCCCGGACCCGAGTTACCCCGGATAACTCGGGCGTCCAAGATTTGCTATCGGGGGCCTATCGCCGATGTGTCGGCGACGAATCGCCGATCCCGCGTCGACGATGCTGCCCCCTTTGCGCCAGTCCCTCCCTATCGTTGCCACTCACCTCGGGAGGGGAAACGACACGCTGCTGCTGGGGGCCAACCAGCCTGTTTTCCGTCGATTTTGCCCGAAGACCGGGCATCTGGTCTGCAACAGTAGAACACTGATTTGTTCCCAAACGCGGCGTGTCGTTGACGGTTTGTCTGCTTCCCTTTTCTCGGGGGTCATTTGCTTGCCCCAGGTCCATTTCTGACGTCGGTGCGACCAAAACGCTACACAAACCGACAGGAGCTCCTGCCCAGTCCGAGCAGGACTCCTTGTCAGCTTCGTCGCAGACGTTGTCCACGTGAGGCGGATAGTGGCCTGCTCATCAGCTGCTGTTGCCAGTTTGGGGCATCAGTTGTTGTTCATCGTGCTCAAGTTTTCCGTACTATTGTGCACCCGCCAAAAGGGGTCAGGTCTTTTCCCCAGGGAGTAGTTTGTTGATTCTCAGTCCCACTGTTGATGACCTTTGGGGCCCGATAGCGCTGGGTCTGACCAAAACACGTGGAGCCCGTGTTTTCCCACGCCGGCGTCGCCGATGCGTCGCCGACGTCGGCGGTGCATCGCCGATGCACCGCCGATGCATCGGCGCTGTGGCGAGACCCTCCGACCACACCTACTCGGACCCCATCTAGGAGGCCTTGATATCTGCGGCGATCTGGATCCGGCAACGTTGGGCCCATCTTCCACCACCACTACCATCTGTAGGAGATGGGGGACGAGGAGGAGGAGGAGGAGGAGGAGGAGGAGGAGGGAAGGAGGAGGAGGAGGAGGAGGAGGAGGGAAGGAGGACCTTCTCATCCTCCCGCCTTCCCCGTCGCACACGCGGTGGCGGTGGTGGGAACTCTGCCCATCCGAGCGAGCGCTCGGCCGGCGGCGGGGCTCGGCGGACGCGGGTCGCGCCGAGCGCAGGGGGGCAGAGGAGCGAGGCGGCCCCCTCGGAGCATGGCGCGCTTCGGTCAGGCAGTGGCGAGGCGTCCTGGCGTGCCCACAGGCCTATCACAGATGTGTTCTCGGAACCTTTTTGTGGTCTGCCCGACATGGTCTTAGAGCATTTCTGGCCGCGGCCGTGCTGTTCGAACACATCGTGCTGATGTTCTAAGAGCACTGCAGTTCTTAGAACGTCTTCGGGTTCTAAGAACATGTCGTGGCAGGCCTATAGGAATGCCGGGACGGTCGGCCCCTGCTCAAGAGGAGCGAGGCGGTGGGGGGAGGGCCGCGGGACTGCCAGAGCGCCCCCTCGCAGCACGGCTCGAAGAAAAAACACACACACACACACACACACACACACACACACACACACACACACACACACACAAACGTTTGGCGCTACGCGCGGATTTCTTGGATCCGCGCTGGGCCCCCTGGCGGCGCCTCCGATGTCTATGTAGTTGTTTCTTCTTCCAATGGCGCGCGTCGGTGGGGGTGGGGCTGGTGCCAGGCCCACGTACTCGCCGCTGTCAGTTCGGGCGGGTGGTAATGTTTAGTCGGGCACGTCCCTCTACAGGGGGAATATTCACAGATAGTCAAACATTGTCCTGGGACACCTTTTCTATTTTTTTACTTTTTTCTATATTTTTGATTTTTTCCGTCGCAAATTCGCCTGTAGGAGGACATGCCCGACCCACTGGTACTGGGGGGTGGCCCACATGGGTGGAGAAACAGGCCCTAATGGGGCCCTTTGGGGGCCCCTTTTCGGGCACCAACTGGCTCCAGAAGGGCCCCTATAGAGGGCTCCCTTTCGGGCCCTGGTCTTCAACCCCCATTTCGGGGGAGCGTAAGACCCGGGTCTGCCAGGACTCGGGTTCGCCCTCGTTTTTGGACGACCGCGCCTCGGATTTTGACGGGGAGGAGTTTCGTGGGATGTCTGCGGCGGGAGGCCTCGTCAACATGCAGGTTCGGCCTCGTCATTTTTGTTGACGACCTCGTCGGGGATTTCCGAGTCCCCCGTACCCAGGTCTTACGTCTCCCCGACCATTGGGTCACCCCCCCATTGGCACCCGTCCGATGTCAGTGCGTGCACAGATTTGGGCATTGACAGGACGCCCCCAGACACGTCGACTGAGGAACTCTGCACGGGCCCACTCGACATTCGCAGTCGAGCCTGCCGGTGCAGTCCGCAGTCAGTTCCGCTCATCGCGGTGCGCCTCGCCGGATACATTTGGCCTTTTGGACGTCGGTTAGTTGCACCGCTGGGGTCTTTTCGGAATGCGGTGCCGTGCGCACGTGGAGTGCCTCTCTTCACTGAAGGGCGTTTTGCTAAAGGGGTCTGTGTCCGCCCTTGGCAGATGCATCGCAGATGTAGCGTAACGAGATCTGGCAGCGACAGAAACAGCGGCAACAAAAACGACATTTCTGGGTCGGGAAGGTGATCATTTTCTTCTTAATTGTTTTGCCGATCGGCGCGGGCCCTCGCACCCCCCCTCCCCCACTCCCCATGGAGTAGATCTTGGCTGTTTCTGGCGCTTGTCTCGAGCAGGTGGAGTCAAACAGTCGCAAGCAGAGGTCTGGAGCCACACCTCGGCGGCGAGCGAGGGGGGGAAGGGAGAAGGCGCGGGCCTTCTCAGAAGTCTCGGAAGTTCCGCGGCCTTCCGAGACGTTTCTTGGGCTTTCCCCGAAGGCAGAAACAGCTTCTCAGAAGCCGCGAGGGTTTCTGAGAAGTCCCACCGCCTTCTGAGAAGGCCTTCTCCGTCTCAGTTGCCCCCCTCGCCCGCCGCCTAACCCCCCCTCCCTCCCCCCCCCTTCCGCCCACTGTAGAAACGCCGAATCAGAAAACGTTCACATGTCTGGGCTGGGAAGGCGTTAGAGAGAGGGCCAGCCCTGCCGTGCGAGGGGCAGCCTCCGGCCGGCGCGCGCGCGTGCCTCCTCGGCAGGGCGGCGGCGCCGGGCGCGGGGTCCTCGAAGGGGGGGCGCCAGGTTGACGTTTGCACCGGTCCTTCGGGCACAGGACTGGTGTGTACAGTCGGGGCGTTGACCTAAGGAACCCTAAATAAGGAACGAGGCACCTCCTTTCCCATAAGTTAAACTTCGATCCCCCCATCGAAAACCTTGGGAAAACCTGAGGCAAGCTGTGAAACAATCAAGGAACACGGAGCCCCTCCCCAACGAAAAGGGTTCCTTCTTCAAGACCGACGCTCCAAGAAAAACTGGAACGGCGGAGTTTGGTCAGTTTTGGGCCTCGGGGGCTCTCGCCGGGCCTCGGCAGCGTCAAGCAATCAGGAGCGAAAGAAGGACGCTTACGTACATTCATCCACGTGGTTTCGTGAGTACGCATTACGCGAACGTTCGTATCACGCGGCCTGTCTCGCGGATTAGGGGGCCGTGCTCATGTACGCGGTTGGGCGCGTACGTCCTTTCCGTGGGTTTCCTAACACTGACGCAGGACGAAGAATTGGTCTCAGGGCAGTGGTCTGGACCTCCAGGCCACACGCATCAAGAAATTGGAGCAGCTGGGACGTTTGGGTGCGTCATCCTGCCCAGGCCAGGAGGGCGTGCAGTCAAGCTCCATGGTAAGGAGGCGCTGCTTCGTCCAGCCCACTGCTGCATGCCTGCTTCTTCGGCCCATCCTGAGCCCATGTTGACGTCCAAAGAGTTCCAACTCTTGCATGGGACTTCTCAGGGTCTTGCGTCCTTACCCTGCATCCTTACCATGGACTTTGACTGCATACTGCAGGCGTTCGATCGGAAGGCGCTAGATTTGCACCTGCACCGATCCTGGACCCAGGGAACGAGGAACAGACGATGACATGAACATGAACTGTCGGAGGTCCGCGAGGATTTCTTTGGTCGCCGCTGGGCGCCCCTGGCGACGGGGGCCTGCGCTGACGGGCAGCCAATCCTTCTGGTTGACCCGGGTTTCAAGCAGTGGCGAAGCGTCTTGGCTCGCCTATAGGCCGACCAGAGATTGTTCTAAGAATTGTTTGTGGTGTGCGCGACATGTTCTCAGACCATTTTTGGCCGAGGCTGCCTTGCTTTAACGCATAGGGCTAATGTTCTAAGAACCTGGTTTTTGTGATTCGAAATTCTGGGGCTTTCTGAGAATATCCCGTGGTAGAGCTACAGGAATGCCGGGACGGTGGGTCCCTGCTCAAGGGTTGTCAGAGCCTCGAATCATCAGGGGTAATTCGGGTCAGGGATGACTCGGGTTCGTTTTTCGGGAATCCAAACCCGAGTTACCCCGGACCCGAGTTACCCCGGATATTTCGGGCGTCCAGAGCCCCGAATCATCAGGGGTAACTCGGGTCAGGGATAACTCTGGTTCGTTTTTCGGGAACTCAAACCCGAGTTACCCCGGACCCGAGTTACCCCAGATAACTCGGGCGTCCAAGGTTGGGAACCACCCCAAACATGTTCGCGTCGTGCAACGTCGGGACGGGCGGGTTTGGGAGGTGTTTTTTTCTGGCCTCCCGGGGTGCCACCGCTGGGCCCCGAGGTGATCGAAGCACGATTCCGGATGAGAAGCAGGTCCGAGAGAAAGGGTCGGGACTTCCGGGGCCCCTTATGTAAGTCGGGGGTGGCCAGAACCCCCAACAGTGACACGTCGATTAGTGAATTGTCCGTTTTCGGTTCTCGAGAGGGCGCCGCGGCCGCTATTTTCCAGGCTTGCGCCCGCCAGGTTTGGGCCTCAGGTCGTTTTCACTAAACCACGTTTTACTAAAGGGAGGTCTGTACATCCCCGATAATTGAGCCTTGATCACCAGAAAGACACCTAGAGAGTACCGAAATGGGAGGGTCTGCATGCTCGGCACTGTTTCGATACTTTCCTGGGTGCTCGAAAGTACTTACGGGATCTGGCCCTCAGGTACCATGGGAAAAAAAACATAACCCTTATGTGAAGAATGGAGACATCGCATGTTTGGGACGTGGGGCCGATCCCCCCCTACGCGCCCCCCTATCTGGCGCCGGCCTGGGAATGATTGTTGGACTGTTAGGATGCAGCTCGTGAGAGGCTAGATTCAGAGTTGACGCTGGTAGATCCCTGGTCTGAAGCTGGCTCAAGTGGGGCTAACTCCAATTCATAGAGCGTAATAGCCCTAGGAAGCCATCAAGGACTCCCCCCCCTTTCCGGTGAAACGATAACGCATCCGGCACCCGGAAGCGTTATCCTGGCACCCTGAGGAGGAGGAGGAGGAGGAGGAGGAGGAGGAGGAGGAGGAGGAGAAGGATGAGGAAGAGGAGGTGGAGGAGGAGGAGGGAGAAGGAGGAACAGGAGGAGGAGGAGGAGGAGGAGGAGGAGGAGGAGGAGGAGGAGGAGGAGGAAGAGGAGGACGAGGAGGAGTAATCATTTTAGTAGTTATGACGGAGACCTCCCGTGAATTGCCTCCTGACTACTGAGCGGCCGGCAAGGCTTCGCGACAGGGCTGGCCCGGTGTAGTGCGTCCCCAGTAGCAGCACGGAGGAGGAGGGGTGCGGGCAGGCCAGACGGCCCTCTTCCCTGCGGCCGCGGGCGGGCACGCCGAGCTGGTGGAGCTCCTCGTCGCGGTGCGCTGCGCCTTGGAGGCTTGCAACGGGGTTCAGCTCACGAGCGGAGAACATATCCGTATCCGCGCCCTCGCCGCAGTCTGGACCCGGGGGCGCGGTCCCGCGGGTGCGGTGTCACACGGACGTTCCGCGCGGGGCATCCGCAAACAAGAACGCGCCGTACCCGCTGGGTCGCGGCCCAGGGGCCCGGCCCGCGAGGCCGCGGATACGGACACGTGTTCCGCCCACGATCAATTCACGCGAATCGACTCAGGGGGGGAACGTTCCGGATTCGAGGTTTCCTGCCACGGCTTGAGCAACAAAAAATTGCGGGGGATTTTTTGTTGGTGTTGCTATTTGACGCCTCGGCGCCCTCGCAGGCCAGGACCGTCAGGAAACCACTCGAGATGAAAAGCCTCTGGACTTCTGTCCAGGTTTCCCAGATGGGGTCCGAACAGATGGGGTCGGAGGGTCGCGCCGCATCGCCGTTGCGTCGGCGATTCGGCTCGATGCCGACGCATCGCCGAACCCATCTACTCGGACCCAATTTGGGAGGCCTCTCGAGCTTCGAGAAATATTCACCGGCCGAGCTCCTCTGGCGAGGGGAAACGCTTTGAGATCCGAGCTTCGAGGTTACCGACGCCTTCGTCTGTTCGCGGCGGTTTTCCAGCCTCGGGACGTTCTCCAGCAGCCGAGAGCGTCTCTCCACAGCGGCGTCGCCACAGCATACGAGGAGGAGGAGGAGGAGGGGGAGGAGGAGGAGGAGGAGGAAGAGGAGGATGGGGAGGAGGAGGGGGAGGGGAAGGGGGAGGA